CATGCCGATACGACGTTGTCATTTAACTCACTCACTCACTAGTTAAAGATAACATACTTCTCAGCCATGTTCTATATGTAGATTATTCCGTGTGCTGATACACCAGTGAAAGATATCATACTTCTCAGCCATGTTCTATATGTAGATTATTAAGTGTGCTGATACACCAGTGAAAGATATCATACTTCTCAGCCATGTTCTATATGTAGATTATTCTATGTGCTGATACACCAATGAAAGATAACATTCTTCTCAGCCATGTTCTATATGTAGATTATTCTATGTGCTGATACACCAGTGAAAGATAACATTCTTCTCAGCCATGTTCTATATGTAGATTATTCTATGTGCTGATACACCAGTGAAAGATACCACACTTCTCAGCCATGTTCTATATGTAGATTATTCTATGTGCTGATACACCAGTTAAAGATATCATACTTCTCAGCCATGTTCTATATGGAGATTATTAAGTGTGCTGATACACCAGTGAAAGATATCATACTTCTCAGCCATGTTCTATATGTAGATTATTCTATGTGCTGATACACCAGTGAAAGATACCACACTTCTCAGCCATGTTCTATATGTAGATTATTCTATGTGCTGATACATCAGTTAAAGATATCATACTTCTCAGCCATGTTCTATAAGTAGATTATTCTATGTGCTGATACACCAGTGAAAGATACCACACTTCTCAGCCATGTTCTATATGTAGATTATTCCGTGTGCTGATACACCAGTGAAAGATATCATACTTCTCAGCCATGTTCTATATGGAGATTATTCCATGTGCTGATACACCAGTGAAAGATATCATACTTCTCAGCCATGTTCTATATGTAGATTATTCCGTGTGCTGATACACCAGTGAAAGATAACATACTTCCCTGCCATGTTCTATATATAGATTATTCTATGTGCTGATACACCAGTGAAAGATAACATTCTTCTCAGCCATGTTCTATATGTAGATTATTCTATGTGCTGATACACCAGTGAAAGATATCATACTTCTCAGCCATGTTCTATATGTAGATTATTCTATGTGCTGATACACCAGTGAAAGATAACATACTTCCCTGCCATGTTCTATATATAGATTATTCTATGTGCTGATACACCAGTGAAAGATAACATTCTTCTCAGCCATGTTCTATATGGAGATTATTCTATGTGCTGATACACCAGTGAAAGATATCATACTTCTCAGCCATGTTCTATATGTAGATTATTCCGTGTGCTGATACACCAGTGAAAGATAACATACTTCTCAGCCATGTTCTCTATATAGATTATTCTATGTGCTGATACACCAGTGAAAGATAACATACTTCCCTGCCATGTTCTATATATAGATTATTCTATGTGCTGATACACCAGTGAAAGATAACATTCTTCTCAGCCATGTTCTATATGTAGATTATTCTATGTGCTGATACACCAGTGAAAGATATCATACTTCTCAGCCATGTTCTATATGTAGATTATTCTATGTGCTGATACACCAGTGAAAGATAACATACTTCCCTGCCATGTTCTATATATAGATTATTCTATGTGCTGATACACCAGTGAAAGATAACATTCTTCTCAGCCATGTTCTATATGTAGATTATTCTATGTGCTGATACACCAGTGAAAGATATCATACTTCTCAGCCATGTTCTATATGTAGATTATTCCGTGTGCTGATACACCAGTGAAAGATAACATACGTCTCAGCCATGTTCTATATATAGATTATTCTATGTGCTGATACACCAGTGAAAGATAACATTCTTCTCAGCCATGTTCTATAAAATTATGTAGATTATTCTATGTGCTGATACACCAGTGAAAGATATCATACTTCTCAGCCATGTTCTATATGTAGATTATTCCATGTGCTGATACACCAGTTAAAGATAACATACTTCTCAGCCATGTTCTACATCTAGATTATTCTATTTTGATGTTCTAATGAGGAATGATATACTTGCTCTGTTCATATAACAGTTGCTACTTATTTGCATGATCTGAGATCATTGTACCATTGTAGACAACACAGTAACCTTATTCGTGTGTGTCACTGAATTAGTTTAACGGGCAAATACAGTTGAATCAGTCCATAGTGTAGCTGGGCGCGTCAATCTCACTTTTGACATGCCTTCGAATAGCTGTATATATCGTGTTTCTCTGTTGTACGTCACGAGAGCGTTGTCAACACACGCTATAACAAGATGTGCAATAATCCCAACTAGTCACTGCAGGCGTGTAAACTCGCCGTGCACCTCCTGTAGTGTTTGTTTTGTGCTGTGACAGTGGAGGGAGTATTTACATTATTGCCATGGCCAGGGGCTGTTTTATTTGTCAATAAAACTCTGGATTTCATTTAAGGCAACTTGTATTAAAAACATGTTGGTATTATGTTTGCTGAGATTCGAGATAATGAGTACTCAGGAGACAAGACTGATGTATTTTAACAGTGAGTGCGTATGGCCTTATACAATATTTAAACATACATACAGACCAATTGTTGGATATTCATTACTCAGAAGTTGACGGATGACAAAGTAGACACAATGTATGGATAACAACTTCTTTATATACTGTAAAGGCAACGATTCGGTGTAGATCCGTTGTCATGTATAAATAAGTTCTTATTCACAAGGGCGGTCGGGTAGCCTAGTGGTTAAAGCGTTCGCTCGTCACGCCGAAGACCCGGGTTCGAATCCCGACATGGGTACAATGTGTGAAGTCCATTTCTGGTGTCCCCCGCCGTGATATTGCTGGAATATTGCTAAAAGCGGCGTAAAACCATACTCACTCACTCACTCTTATCCACAAATTGTGCCTACTTTGTACATACAGATGGTCAATTATGTTTCACACGTTGTACAGTGTCACTGCCTACAAGTTCATATAGGTGTGAATATGTGTGTACGGTTCTTCTGGCTACACGTTCCCTTCATCTCATATGGTCATTGTGGAGATTCTTGTTTGAAATAGGTCCCCAGCACACTATTCTGATCGTGAGGGGCGATTAAGGGATCGGGTGGTCTGGATGGGTGACTTGGTCGACAGTGTGTCATCGTATCCTGGCGGCGCGGATCGTTGCTTACAGTATCAATCACTGGATTGTCTTTCGTGACTAGGGTGGTCGGGTAGCCTAGTGGTTAAAGCGTTCGCTCGTCACGCCGAAGACCCGGGTTCGATTCCCGACATGAAACATGCGTTGATTCCCACGTAACGTAACGGTTGTTTCTAAGGGGATTTATCCCGCTGCACCCGGTATAACGAATCCACTGACATCGCAATGTGAGTTATGCGGGTGGTTGTTTAACTTTAATTATTTCTGGAAGTTAAGTGTAACACCTTAGTTCACCACGGACCAGTTGAGCTTCACGGCGTCTCCGACACGCAATAGTAGCCCTCTGTACACAGGGACAAAGACATGACGTCTACTACTGTATTAACGTATTAGACTCCAATACTGGGCTTACACATAGGAGGCGTGCTGTGACTGTATACCGGGGTATCATTACACGTTTCTCATACTAACGCTATACTGTAGACACCCCGACTTCAACAATTCCTAATGAGGATGTGTGTTGGCACACGTCGATACCGTGTTAACACAACACTTGTGTGTGTGTGTGTGGGGGGGGGGGGGGGGGGGGGGGGGACGGGTGGCCCAGCCGTCTAATGCGCCACAATTCGCTGTGAAGAGTTGCGTCCCTTGGACTAGGTAGAAACCTATGATCGTGGGTTCGAATCCCCGTTCGTACTGATTACCCATCTAGGTTTGTCAGCACCATACCCGTGCTCTTGGATTTCACCAAAGTGGTAAACATCTAAGACCCGAATCACTCCTGGCTTTCCTCCCACATTAAGCTGACACGCCGTGATATAACTGGAATACTGCTAATGGCGACGTTAAACCTCACTCACTCACTCACTCATTCAACATTGGTGTTGATTTAGCAAGGCTATGTTTTTCAATAACAGTGTTGCTGTATAGCAATTTGAAGGGTGGTATTTAGGATGTGATGATTTGTGACCTTGTGTGCATCTGTGTGTTTACCTGTGAGATGTGTTTGCCCGAGTTGAATGTGTTTATGACAATACACGAGTCAGGGCACCCTGCTGCCAGCGCCACAATACAAAAGCCAACCGTTTGTTAATTATGCGCCTTTATAATGTGATTTAGAAATACAATGACGTTTCTGGTCACCGTGTGGTTGAGGAATATTAAACCTGTGGCATTTCTACAGGTAGATGGGTGATCTTGGATTAAATATTGTGTCTGTACAAATGACTGCCATCATTTTCGAATATTAGCCCGATTTCCTGAAAGTCAGTATTTCACCTCCTTCGAACAGCGTTGTGGTCCTTGGTAAGAACAGGTGCACTGGTTAATTGAGGTTTGAATATATGCCATATGCAAAAGTTCAAAGCGTTTGTATCGACTCTGGTCTAGTGGACAGAGCGTCTGTCTGGAGAACGAAAGGTCGGTGATGAGATTTCCGCACGCGTCATTCCAGAATAATTTGAAAGATGGTACTTGTTGTTACCCTGCCTGGCGCTCGGCATTAAGGAGATATAACAAGGACTGATTTGTTCGGAGTTACGACACAGTGTCTGAGTGGGGTATCCATATTAAAACTGGGGCAACTGGGACGCGGTATCTAGTTTGGCTAGCACCACACACACATACATGTAGACCCGTGAAGATCCGGGGTAGAATAGGTCTTCAGCAACCCATGCTTACCATAAAAGGAGACTATGCTTGTCGTAAGAGGCGCCTAACGTTAAACTGCGGCATGGTATCTCAGTGAGCTAGCACTATAAATCGGCATCAGTCACTAGTACAAGCAGCCACACAAACACACACACGTACATGCACGTCGTTATATAAGTGCAATACTCTTGGACGCGACGTTAAGCCCCATTTCACCTCACCTATTAGTGTGATTTCATCTTTTGATAGTTACCGTCCAGACTCTGTGTTTCAGGATCGCTGGTGGTGGTCATGGAGCAGGCCGGGCACCAGTCACGACAGAGTCCTTCCCGACACCCAAACAAAATGGCCACCTGTTATCAGGGGAGGGAACTCCGCCTGCACCACGACTGACGTTCTACCATAGCGTAGGCGGGTCACGTGTGAGGGCCGAGAATGCCCCCAGGAAACACAACAGACGGCTGCAGTCATTGCCCCCGAGGAAGCCGAAAGGTACAAAATGCGTTCTAGAAGGAGTGTAGATGAAATATCGTTCTTACGTAGCTGTATATAGTGTAGTACTGTATTGCTGTAGTGATGACCCAGTTATCCAAAATAATACCCCCATGCTTGTCACATAAACCGCTGTGTTTGTCACATAAACCGCTGTGTTTGTCACATAAACCGCTGTGCTTGTCACATAAACCGCTGTGTTTGTCACATAAACCGCTGTGTTTGTCACATAAACCGCTGTGTTTGTCACATAAACTACTGTGTTTGTCACATAAACCGCTGTGTTTGTCACATAAACTACTGTGTTTGTCACATAAACCGCTGTGTTTGTCACATAAACCGCTGTGTTTGTCACATAAACCGCTGTGTTTGTCACATAAACCGCTGTGTTTGTCACATAAACCGCTGTGTTTGTCACATAAACTACTGTGCGCAAGAAAGTATACTCTTCAAAATTGGATTTGACCAAAAAATTATAAACTTTATTCAAACGTTAATTGGCTGAACATAATCGTCGAAATACCGCATAAGCTTCAAAATACAACTATGATACATGTATCATATACATCACCATCGAATAACAATTTCTGGCTTGTTTCACTTTTAGCCACCATGAAACAATGGGGGATACTTACTTTTGCCCGGCAGTGTACTCCTATCCTACTTACTCACTTACTTCCCTGCTGCGTGGTTGGCCGGGTTGTCTAAGGTTACGTCCTTTAGCTGTCAGTATCGGCAGATCCTAGATTCGCCATGACTGTAATACATGGCTCGTCAGCACCTCAATCCTGCTGAGCGTTTATTTCTAAAGCCGTATTCCCCACATGGGTACAATGTGTGAAGCCCATTTCAGAACCCCGCCGTGATATTGCTGCACTATTGCCAAAGTTGCGTACAAATATACTCATTCACTCACACCAAAGTAGTATGTCTACTTTAGGCTTTACTAAAACTTACACGCCGTGATATCTCGTTCACTGACTGCCTCACCGCGCCTAGCTTCACTCCATGCATGTTCGTGCCCTCCTACCCTACAGCCGACGATGAGTCCCCCAGGCTGGCCAACTCCGCCCCCTCACGGAAGGGACAGAAGGCGGTGGCTCCCCTCCCTAAACTCAACAACCTGATGGCCAAGCTGAAGACATCCGAGCGGGAGCAGACATACGGCAAACCTCGACCTAATGGTAGCGTAACCCCTGACACCTTTGACACCGGATAGTGGTGGTGTAACCTCACCTCTAACACCGTATAGTGGTCGTGTAACCTCACCTCTAACACCGCATAGTGGTCTTGTTACCTCACCTCTAACACAGGATAGTGGTGGTGTAACCTCTGACACTGGATAGTGGTGGTGTAATCTCACCTCTAACACCGTATAGTGGTAGTGTAACCTCTGACACTGGATAGTGGTGGTGTAACCTCACCTCTTACACAGGATAGTGGTAGTGTAACCTCTGACACTGTATAGTGGTGGTGTAATCTCACCTCTAACACAGGATAGTGGTAGTGTAACCTCGCCTCTAACACCGGATAGTGGTGTTGTAACCTCTGACACTGTATAGTGGTGGTGTAATCTCACCTCTAACACCGGATAGTGGTGTTGTAACCTCTGACACTGGATAGTCGTGGTGTAATCTCACCTCTAACACCGGATAGTGGTAATGTTACCTCGCCTCTAACACCGGATAATGGTAGTGATCTCACCTCTAACACTGGATAGTGGTGGTGTAACCTCACCTCTGACACTGGATAGTAGTGGTGTAACTTCTGACACTGGGTAGCGGTGGTGTAATCTCACCTCTAACACCGGATAGTGGTGGTGTAACCTCTGACAATGGAAAGTCGTTGTGTAACCTCTAACACTGGATAGTGGTAGTGTCGCCTCTGTCACTGGATAGTGGTGGTGTAACTTCTGACACTGTGTATTGGTGGTGTAATCTCACCTCTAACACCGTATAGTGGTAGTGTAACCTCTGACACCGGATAGTGGTACTGTAACCTTTGACACTGGATAGTGGTAGTGTAACCTCTGACACCGGATAGTGGTGGTGTGATCTCACCTCTAACACAGGATAGTGGTAGTGTAACCTCTGACACTGGATAGTGGTGGTATAACCTCACCTCTAACACAGGATAGTGGTAGTGTAACCTCTGACACTGGATAGTGGTGGTGTAATCTCACCTCTAACACAGGATAGTGGTACTGTAACCTCTGACACTGGATAGTGGTGGTGTAATCTCACCTCTAACACCGGATAGTGGTGTTGTAACCTCGCCTCTAACACCGGTACAATGGTCGTGTAGTCTCACCTCTAACACCGGTACAATGGTCGTGTAGTCTCACCTCTAACACCGGTACAATGGTCGTGTAGTCTCACCTCTAAAACCGGTACAATGGTCGTGTAGTCTCACCTCTAACACCGGTACAATGGTCGTGTAGTCTCACCTCTAACACCGGTACAATGGTCGTGTAGTCTCACCTTTAACACCGGTACAATGGTCGTGTAGTCACACCTCTAACACCGGTACAATAGTCGTGTAGTCTCACCTCTAACACCGGTACAATGGTCGTGTAGTCTCACCTCTAACACCGGTACAAAGGTCGTGTAGTCTCACCCTTACACCGGTACAATGGTCGTATAGTCTCACCTCTAACACTGGTACAATGGTCGTGTAGTCTCACCTCTAACACCGGTACAATGGTCGTGTAGTCTCACCTCTAACACTGGTACAATGGTCGTGTAGTCTCACCTCTAACACCGGTACAATGGTCGTGTAGTCACACCTCTAACACCGGTACAATGGTCGTGTAGTCTCACCTCTAACACCGGTACAATGGTCGTGTAGTCTCACCTCTAACACCGGTACAATGGTCGTGTAGTCTCACCTCTAACACCGGTACAATGGTCGTGTAGTCTCACCTCTAACACCGGTACAATGGTCGTGTAGTATCACCTCTAACACCGGTACAACGGTCGTCTAAGCATCACCTCGTAACAAGAGACAATTAATAATGTGAATAATTTGTATAAAGTGCGAGGTTTGTACTTCCAAACCAATGGATGATTGTACTGACTTTATACAGATTATGCCTCTGTGATATTTCCATATTTTTGCCGGATTGTGTTGTAGTGTAGACTGTGTGGTGATTCTTTTGTTAAAATCTAATTTGTGTTATATTTACACGTTATGATGTTGACACGGACCATGGGTGTGTGATAATTAATCTTATATCTGTTGACACAGACCATGCCGGGATCTCCACAAAGGCGCATGAATCTCAGAACCAGAAGTAAGTATCAACCTTGCCTGCTCTTTCCCTGCCATGTAACTCGCACAAAAACATGTGTCTCCTACCAAAAACAGTTACGTCATTCTTCTTATCTGATGAATTGATAGTTCCGACTTAATCTGCTGATCATAACCTGTTTCTATTTCAGATCTCAGAAGTTTGCTACCTCATGGGCCAATGCCAGAGCGGAACAGCCCAAACTCAGAAGGTACGCTGCTTTCCTTGTCCCTCCCTCGACCCTGTGGGGGCGGTCGGGTAGCCTAGTGGTTAAAGCGTTCGCTCGTCATGCCGAGGACCCGGGTTCGATTCCCGACATGGGTACAATGTGTGAAGCCCATTCCTGGTGTCCCCCGCCGTGATATTGCTGGGATATTGCTAAAAAAAGCGGCGTAAAAACATACTCACTCACTCGACCCTGTGGAGGTTCCAGGAAGAATAGGTCCACAGTATCCCTTGCTTGTCATGAAAACCATCATTGTGTTTTAACTCAGTGATCTGGCTGATCACGTGTCAACGATCGCGGATGACTTTGCACTGTTTTGCCTGGTTCAGATTTGATTCAGACCGCTGTGATATTGCTGACTGAACCCATCCATAGCTTCACCACCACTTCCTGCTTCCCAGAGACGCCGACATTTGTAATTATATTGGCTATAAGATCACTTTTGCTACAAGTATTATTTTAGAAGTTTTTGAGATATACCTTCATGGCTCGGCTGTTGACACTTTATACAATCGACCGGTGACATGCAAGTAACTGAATTAACACGATTTTAATTAAATACCTTCCTTGAATGTATCCTGATATTGAGTCTCAACGAGAATGTATTTTTGTCCAAACATAAAATTTGGCATACATTTTAAGGTAACGTAACACATCTAATGAGGCCTGACCAATGACTCTTCACTGTCGTTTGTCATTGATTATGCATGGCATGGTATACTAGTACAGTAAACTAGGGTTATAACGAACTCAAAGGGACCACTAATTTTAATTCGTTATAACCGAAGTTCGTTATAAGCAAATGTACGGAATATACACAGCAAATGGGCCGGACCAAAAAGTAGTTCGTTATATCCGTCAGTTCGTTATAAGCGTGTTCATTATAAACGTAGTTCACTGTATTCGTCTCTAATTCGCTGCTCTTATTCCAGCGATGACAGAAGTTCTCCTAATGAGAAACGCGAAGCCCTAGACAAGAAGTCTGACCCCTTCCATGCGAAAAGCGAGAGAAAGCAGCCCCCAGTAATTTCTGAAGTGGTCCCGAAGGAACGAGAGAAGATCGTAAGGAAGAATGATCAAACACTGAGCCACATGTTCCACGCCTCGGAAAAGGAGAACACTTCTCCCGTGAAACAAAGAGAGTCGCCCTACCTGGACATGAAGGCAAGGGAGAGGCGGGTTGATCTGGAGAGAAGAGACTGGAACCCTAGCTATGTAGTTCCGAAACCTGTGGCCAGTAGACGACGAGATGAAGACACCCACCAGCCTGCCCTTACTGACGCCAATGAACTCTACAAAGCCTACACCGGACGCACGAAGCGGGAGTTGAGGAGGTGTGATGACACCATCAGCCGCAGCGGCTCCCAGTACGGTGAGGTTTATCAAGCCACAATCACCATCTCCCCACGAAACAAGAAAGAGTATGTGCTCACTCTCAGGGAAGCTGATGCATATAAAAAGATTAACTCTGTCTACGGCAGTGATTCGTTTAGGAAAAAGAGAAAATCCTACCTCTTGCAAAAACTAATGACTGTAGAAGTGGACCAGATTAAGATACATAATCAGAGTGTTCGTGAAAGAGAACGCAAAAAGGTCGAATCTAAACGTCGGCAGCAAAAGCAACTTCATCATCTGAGGAGAAGGTTCAAAGACCAACAGTGCCGTCGCTTCCGGTCTCAGTACGTCACGAGTCGCGTGTTAGAGCACGAGAAAATGAACCGGAAGTTGTACGGACTTCCAGAGGAGAATGCGTCAGAAAAGGACGAAGAAGAGGAGGATCTGGATGTGCCTGAGGATAATTCCGAAGAGAGCGAAAAGAGCAGGAGGAAGAAGGACGAGCTGATTACATCGTACGACAAGAAGAAGAAGAGGAAAGCATATGAGAGGAAGTACAAGAACATGTTCGACATCAGTGTGGGTCCGTCCTGGGATCCTCGGGCGACCACGCCCAAGATGGAGGGAGTCGACATAGTTGCGGTGGAGGTCAAGGGAAAGGATGGTAAGTAATGCCCTCGGAAACTGTGTTCTAAATCTGGGACTATAACAACCTTCGCTGTTATGGATTAACAGGGTATGCCATGTAAGACAACTCAGGGTAGTGGCGTGATGCTTGAGAGAGGGAACATTATGGAGTAGGAAAAAGTGGGTGAGTGTGTGAGTTGGGTTTGACGCCGCTTTATCAATATTCCAACACTATCGCGCGGGGGACACAAGAAATGAGCTTCAAACATTCTATGTGAGGAAAAGAACCTAGGCCTTCGGTGTGACAAGCGAACGCTTTAACCGCTACGCTACCCCACCTGGGGAAGGCGTGATAAGGTGGGGATATCAGTCGATCAACACAGGGTGGGGATATGTCAGACTGCTCCTGCCAGTGACATGTGACAGACTTCTAAGGGTGGGGATATTTCAGACTACCCCTGCCAGTGACATGTGACAGACATCTGAGGGTGTGGATATTTCAGACTACCCCTGCCAGTGACATGTGACAGACAACACAGGGTGGGGATATGTTAGACTACTCCTGCCAGTGGCTTTTGACAGACAACTCAGGGTTTGGAAATGTCAGACTGCTCCTGCCAGTGACATGTGACAGACAACACAGGGTGGAGATATGTCAGACTGCTCCTGTCAGTGACATGTGACAGACAACACAGGGTGGGGATATGTTAGACTACTCCTGCTAGTGACATGTGACAGACAACACAGGCCGGGGATATGTTAGACTGCTCCTGCCAGTGACATGTGACAGACAACACAGGGTGGGGATATGTTAGACTGCTCCTGCCAGTGACATGTGACAGACAACACAGGGTGGAGATATGTCAGACTGCTCCTGCCAGTGACATGTGACAGACAACACAGGGTGGGGATATGTTAGACTACTCCTGCTAGTGACATGTGACAGACAACACAGGCCGGGGATATGTCAGACTGCTCCTGCCAGTGACATGTGACAGACAACACAGGCCGGGGATATGTTAGACTGCTCCTGCCAGTGACATGTGACAGACAACTCGGGGTGGGGATATGTTAGACTGCTCCTGGCAGTGACATGTGACAGACAACTCGGGGTGGGGATATGTCAGACTGCTCCTGCCAGTGACATGTGACAGACAACACAGGCCGGGGATATGTTAGACTGCTCCTGCCAGTGACATGTGACAGACAACTCGGGGTGGGGATATGTTAGACTACTCCTGCCAGTGACATGTGACAGACAACACAGGGTGGGGATATGTCAGACTGCTCCTGCCAGTGACATGTGACAGACAACACAGGGTGGGGATATGTTAGACTACTCCTGCTAGTGACATACAACACAGGCCGGGGATACGTCAGACTACTCCTGCCAGTGACATGTGACAGACAACACAGGGTGGGGATATGTCAGACTGCTCCTGCCAGTGACATGTGACAGACAACACAGGGTGGGGATATGTCAGTCTGCTCCTGCTAGTGACATACAACACAGGCCGGGGATACGTCAGACTACTCCTGCCAGTGACATATGACAGACAACACAGGGTGGGGATATGTCAGACTGCTCCTGCCAGTGACATGTGACAGACAACACAGGGTTTGGATATGTCAGACTGCTCCTGCCAGTGACATGTGACAGACAACACAGGGTGGGGATATGTCAGTCTGCTCCTGCTAGTGACATACAACACAGGCCGGGGATACGTCAGACTACTCCTGCCAGTGACATGTGACAGACAACACAGGGTGGGGATATGTCAGACTGCTCCTGCCAGTGACATGTGACAGACAACACAGGGTGGAGATATGTTAGACTGCTCCTGCCAGTGACATGTGACAGACAACACAGGGTGGGGATATGTTAGACTACTCCTGCTAGTGACATGTGACAGACAACACAGGCCGGGGATATGTCAGACTGCTCCTGCCAGTGACATGTGACAGACAACACAGGCCGGGGATATGTTAGACTGCTCCTGCCAGTGACATGTGACAGACAACTCGGGGTGGGGATATGTTAGACTGCTCCTGGCAGTGACATGTGACAGACAACTCGGGGTGGGGATATGTCAGACTGCTCCTGCCAGTGACATGTGACAGACAACACAGGCCGGGGATATGTTAGACTGCTCCTGCCAGTGACATGTGACAGACAACTCGGGGTGGGGATATGTTAGACTACTCCTGCCAGTGACATGTGACAGACAACACAGGGTGGGGATATGTCAGACTGCTCCTGCCAGTGACATGTGACATACAACACAGGCCGGGGATATGTTAGACTGCTTCTGCCAGTGACATGTGACAGACAACTCGGGGTGGGGATATGTTAGACTACTCCTGCCAGTGACATGTGACAGACAACACAGGGTGGGGATATGTCAGACTGCTCCTGCCAGTGACATGTGACAGACAACACAGGGTGGGGATATGTCAGTCTGCTCCTGCTAGTGACATACAACACAGGCCGGGGATACGTCAGACTACTCCTGCCAGTGACATGTGACAGACAACACAGGGTGGGGATATGTCAGACTGCTCCTGCCAGTGACATGTGACAGACAACACAGGCCGGGGATATGTTAGACTGCTCCTGCCAGTGACATGTGACAGACAACACAGGGTGGAGATATGTTAGACTGCTCCTGCCAGTGACATGTGACAGACAACACAGGGTGGGGATATGTTAGACTACTCCTGCTAGTGACATGTGACAGACAACACAGGCCGGGGATATGTCAGACTGCTCCTGCCAGTGACATGTGACAGACAACACAGGCCGGGGATATGTTAGACTGCTCCTGCCAGTGACATGTGACAGACAACTCGGGGTGGGGATATGTTAGACTGCTCCTGGCAGTGACATGTGACAGACAACTCGGGGTGGGGATATGTCAGACTGCTCCTGCCAGTGACATGTGACAGACAACACAGGCCGGGGATATGTTAGACTGCTCCTGCCAGTGACATGTGACAGACAACTCGTGGTGGGGATATGTTAGACTACTCCTGCCAGTGACATGTGACAGACAACACAGGGTGGGGATATGTCAGACTGCTCCTGCCAGTGACATGTGACATACAACACAGGCCGGGGATATGTTAGACTGCTTCTGCCAGTGACATGTGACAGACAACTCGGGGTGGGGATATGTTAGACTACTCCTGCCAGTGACATGTGACAGACAACACAGGGTGGGGATATGTCAGACTGCTCCTGCCAGTGACATGTGACAGACAACACAGGGTGGGGATATGTCAGTCTGCTCCTGCTAGTGACATACAACACAGGCCGGGGATACGTCAGACTACTCCTGCCAGTGACATGTGACAGACAACACAGGGTGGGGATATGTCAGACTGCTCCTGCCAGTGACATGTGACAGACAACACAGGGTGGGGATATGTCAGTCTGCTCCTGCTAGTGACATACAACACAGGCCGGGGATACGTCAGACTACTCCTGCCAGTGACATATGACAGACAACACAGGGTGGGGATATGTCAGACTGCTCCTGCCAGTGACATGTGACAGACAACACAGGGTTTGGATATATCAGACTGCTCCTGCCAGTGACATGTGACAGACAACACAGGGTGGGGATATGTCAGTCTGCTCCTGCTAGTGACATACAACACAGGCCGGGGATACGTCAGACTACTCCTGCCAGTGACATGTGACAGACAACACAGGGTGGGGATATGTCAGACTGCTCCTGCCAGTGACATGTGACAGACAACACAGGGTGGGGATATGTCAGACTGCTCCTGCCAGTGGCTTTTGACAGACAACTCAGGGTTTGGAAATGTCAGACAACTCCTGCCAGTGACATGTGACAGACAACACAGGGTGGGGATATGTCAGACTGCTCCTGCCAGTGACATGTGACAGACAACACAGGGTGGGGATATGTAAGACAACTCCTGCCAGTGACATGTGACAGACAACACAGGGTGGGGATATGTCAGACTGCTCCTGCCAGTGACATGTGACAGACTACACAGGGTGGGGATATGTCAGACAACTCCTGCCAGTGACATGTGACAGACAACACAGGGTGGGGCAGTGTGTGTTAGACATCTTGTATTTCCTACGGTAACATGACCATTTACAATAGTGGATATGTCGAGCCTCTGTAAGATTGTACACGATGTTGCAGGGAAAGTCAAGGAGAGGAAGACAGATGTCAAGGACATTGTGAGGGACGCCAAGAAGTTATTACAGACACCCAGTCGAGGTAAGGTCTCTCAACACGGTGGAAATTGTATTCGCGATGAGTGTCAAGTTGAAGATATTTTATGGTTGCTTCTTCTACTAATCAATCATTCCAATATTAATGCAGCTGAGATGCGATTGTATGTAGTGTTTCTTGAGTATCATCATATTAATATTGTGACTGTCCACTAAAGAGCAGGATCCGCTGATGGTGGATCAAATCTCAGATTCACCCTGGTTATGACCCTTAGTTTGCCATCGAGAATTTGTTATCCATAATATATATTTTGTGTTAACTTTGTCATCGTCCTATAACTGGAATATTGCTAAATGCAGCGTTAAAAAACAAACACTTCAGTATATAACTGAAAGATGGAACTAACAAAACCATCTTGATACAATTATTTTTAAAAATATTTTAAGGTTTGTAAACAAACCGGTCTTCATTTCCACCAAATAGTCCCACGCGATCACACGAAAGCGTGTATATGTTTTACAAAGCACAGAGAATGAGTGAGTATACTTTTACGCCGCTTTGGCAGTATTCCAGCAATATCACGGCCAGGGCCACCAAAAACAGGGTTCATACATTGTACCCATGTTGAGAATCGAACTCGGGTCTTCGTCGCGACGAGCTAACGCTTGAACAACTCGGCTGCCCCTACTCCCCAATAAAGCACATTGTCTTTCTTTGCAGAGTACGACCTATCGCTGAACGAATCTAGACTGACAACTCCAATTAGTCGCTCGACACATCTCAGCAGACGTCGGCCATCGCTCGACTCTCTGGAACTAGACGATGATGATGATGACGATGATATTTTCGAGCGTGCGAGACGAAAATACAACTTGGATGTAGACAGTCAACTTTAGATCACATTCGCAGCCTGGGGGTCTTTAGATTTGTCACACAACGACTTTAGCCGAATTGGTCTCACAACAGTGGATTCCAGTCCTGTGTATAGCTCATCCATCATCTCTCAGGAGACCTCAGTCAGATGTGATATATGTTGTATATCGGAAGATACCTTTGATGTAAATCGTTACTACTAGAACCTCGTCACGCCGAGGACCCGGGTTCGATTCCCGACATGGGTACAATGTGTGAAGCCCATTTCTGGTGTCCCCCGCCGTGATATTGCTGGAATATTGCTAAAAGCGGCGTAAAACCATACTCACTCACTCACTACTACTAGAACCTCGGTCAAATGTGTCATTTATAAGAATATTTCTGGGATATTTGTCGCTTATCGGAAACCCTGAATTAAATGTTGCATATGTCAGAAGACCGCTGTGATATATGTCATATAGCAGAAGAGTGAGTGAGTGAGTGAGTGAGTGAGTGAGTTGGGTTTAAGGCCGCTTTTAACAGTATTCCAGTAATATCGCGGCGTGTCAGTTTAATGTGGGAGGAAAGCCCGATATAGCAGAAGACACCAGCGATATATGTCATATATTAGGAGACACCAGTGATATATCGTTTATGGATGACACCAGTAATATATGTCTTATTTTAGGTGACACTAGTGATATATGTCTTATATAGAAGACCAGTGATGTATGTCCTATATCAGAAGACACCTGTGATATATGTCGTATATAGAAGACACCAGTGATATATGTCCTATATCCGAAGACACCAGTGATATATGCGGTATATCAGAAGACACCAGCGATATATGCTGTGTATTGAAAACAGCATTGATTTGTATCGAATATCAGAAGACACCAGTGATAAATATCGTATATCGCAGACCCTCCATCAAATGTATTTATCAGTATACCTCAATGAGACGTGTCACGTGTCGGAAGACCCGTTTGACTGAGCTATGTCTTAGGTAGGGAGAAGCAGCCCTAGATAGACGTGAAGGAGAAATCTATCCATCACAAATATGTTGGAGATTTCTCGTAATACGTTGATTCTTGCACAACAATAGTATTATATATTAAAAAATCAACAATGCAGTATTTCTGACCTCACCTTTGCGAGATATGTGGAATGGTTTGGGCTTTTCTATGTTTAATCTAAATAGCTATCTCACGCGGGTACGATAATGGAACACTCAATTAGCTATCTCACGTGGGGAGGGCAATAGAACATCTGAATAGCTATCTCACGCGGGGAGGATAATGGAACATCTTAACAGATGTCTCACGTGGAGAGTGTTATAGAACGTCTAAACAGCTATCTCACGCGGCGAGGGTAATTTATAAGAGATAACCTAATTACTTATCTCACACGGGGAGGGCAATAGACCATCAAAATAGCTATCTCACGCGTGGAGGGTAATGGAACATCTTAATAGCTATCCCACGCAGGGAGGGTAATAGAACATCTAAATAGTTATCTCACACGGGGAAGGTAATGAAACTTCTAAGATAGTTACCTCACTCAGTTGAGGTGACAGAACATCAAATAGATACCTCACACCGGGAAGATTTGAGCTGCGGAGACAGACATTGATGGATTGTCACGTAATTCAGTTACCAGTTATTAGTATAACGTATGAATATGCCTATTTTTCTTCAGCATTTACTTAAGGGTACTTCTCAGCGTTATTCTACTGACCACTGGGGATGGTCTTCCTTTCTAAACCCTTATATATTTTGTTGTCAGTAATTTACCCATGTATCGACTACTAAATCATAAGCCAAGGTACAGTATCAGACCTTGTTTCACGTCTTCTGACTGCATGCTGACTCTATGCTGACTGTACAGTCAGAGTTAGCTGTGGTCTCAAGTTCCATGTCACATTACACGTGTACAGAAAAAGTCACAACACTCATTTTATTTATTAGATTCTTATTTTGTATAAATGAAAATACATATATTTTCTTGAATGTCTTGGGTTTGAATCTTTTTTTTCACACGGGAAAATACTGATCGGTTAAACCGATATATTAACTGCAATCAAGAATCAACACATAAATCAAATGCAATGATATTTCTACTTGCATGTAGTTATTGATTATGTTGATTGCTTGACCCGGATTCCAATATAAACGAGGAAACTACTCCTCGCCATTCAATCTCGTATGCATTATGACAAGAAGCGCCGAGTTCGTTTAGCCCCGTTGCATGGCATTCTGGAAGCGTGGTACTTATGCCATGAAAGCGGGACCATGGAAATGTAACTCTATGACGTCACGAGTTGTCCCCCATCACAACGCAACCTAGTCTACCCGTCTAATAAATGGACCCAAGGAAAGATAACATTATGGTGAAGACAGCTGAACCGTTATCTACTCAAAGCTGGATATTAACAGATGTCTGCCCTGCCTATGAGGAAACTCGACCCGGCTGTTTTTAAACCTTCTACCTAGATACTGTCTTAACGTGTGTAGACCGCCTCCGTGGTCTAGTGGTAGAGCGTCCGCCCGGAGAGCGGAAGGTCCGGGGTTCGATCCCCGGCCGCGTCATACTAAAAGACGTTGAAAGATGGTACTTGTTGTTGCCCTGTCTGGCGCTCGGCATTAAGGGGCTAAAAAAGGACTGGGCGGCTCGGAGTCAGTATAATGTGTCTGAGTGGGGTATTCATGTTAAACTGCGGCATGGTATCTCAGTGAGCTAGCACTATAAATCGGCATCAGTCCGGACTAATACAAGCAGCCACACAAACACACACACGTACATGCACGTCGCTATATAAGTGCAATAATCTTGGACGCGACGTTAAACCCCATTTCACCTCACCTCGCCTTTAGTGTGTATTATTGAAGTATTCAAGCGGCAATAAGTCAATACTAATAATATTCCTTTGAGCGGAGACGTTAGTTTGTGGGTCCTTTAGGTTAGCCTGTTGCGTCCTTTAGGTAGGTTGTAAGTTGTTTTACGCCGCACTATTACAACAATATTCAAGGGACCAGTAAATAATCGGGACTTGGCAGACAAAGCGCTCGAGATCAACCAGTTTCCAAACCTGACCGCCCGATTCACCTTAGTCGCCTTTTACGAGATAACAGTTCAAGGGGGTACGGGTGGCTCAGTCGTCTAAGGCGACGCAATTCGCAGTGCAGAGTTGCTTCCCTTTGCAACGCCAGAAATATATGATCGTGGGTTCGGGTCTAAGTTCGCCACGATTATGTTTCTTGGTTTTGTCGTCACCAAACCCGTGCTCGGTATTACCAAAAAGGTAAACGTCTGAAATCTGCATCACTTCGGGCTTTCCTCCCAGATTACACGCTGTGATATAACTGGAAAACCAAACTCACTCACTCACTCACTCACAAGCAATAGAGGCAATGTTCTAAGCCGCGGCCACACAGTGTTCCAATAAGATGGAAAACATGAAACATTCTGAACCAAAGAAATGAGTGGATAAGGTTAACACGATCAAAACATTTCATGGCATCAGCATATTGTAGTCATGAAGAAAGGGGAGACTTATAGATCGGTTATTAAAATGATTAAAGTCAACCTGATGATCATTAATTGTGCATTTATTCAAACCCTTATCTACCCAGGACACCCGGAGCTGGCGGTGCGGGTGGTTCACGTGTGGGGGCTGCTGTTGTACTACGTCAACACGGGGACGATCGATGTGACCATGTGGGGTAACGAGGACGGAAATTCCCCCATATTGACTATATGTCACATGGACCTAGCCGGGTGGTTGTCGACCGCATCGGGTTGATTAACTTTTCATTGCCGCTGAGCTAATTTTACCATGTAAAACGTGCGGTGCTCATTGTTCACATAAGAGTGAGTGAGTATAGTTTTACGCCGCTTTTAAAAATATTCAATCAGTATCACGGCAGGGGACCCCAGAAATTGGCTTCACACATTGTACCCATATTTCGTTTTTTTTCTTATAATTTCGATTATTTTCTCGTTATTCCAATTATATTTAAACAAAAGAATTAACGAAAAGCCATCGAGGTAACGAAAATAAATATAATTTGAGAAAAAGAGAATCTCACCCGAGTGTCTTTTGATATCAAATATATCAACACGAGTTGATAAAAGTGGAAAAAATTCCGAGGTTTGCCGAGGATTTTTGCCACTTTTAATCAACGAGTGTTGATATATTTGATATCAAAAGACACGAGGGTGAGATTTTATTTATCGTCCAACATCATTCTTCCAACTTTTTCAGTTTGTAGACAGTAGTTAGCAGTGTCTTCAGAGTAAAAAGTACTGCTAACAGTTTCAGTAGCAGAGCCATTGGTGATGTCATTTGATTGTGACGTCATTGTAACCAGTGACGTCACAATGGTCTGCAAAGCATTGTGATGCAATTTCATTGCACCGATATCTGCAGTGTAGATATCGCTTGATCTCATCCAAGCGATATATCCTGTGGAAGCCAGTTTTGGATGATAAAAAAGATTAAACAATATCATATTCGAAATTTCATTTCTAAGAAAAAAAAATATACTCCAAAGCGGCAACACAAGATTTTCGTAAAACACGCAACAGGAGCACAACAATGGTATCTTTACAGCACGTTAGCGAACAAATTTGGAGGTGGTAAATACAAATTATTTTTCAGGACTATACAATTGTCGGTTCACGTAGTCATATGCTGACTCTATGAGACAATGTAACAGACAACCTCCACCGGTTTATACCACATATCGCAATGTACGGTGCTGATGCAAAGTCTTAACAAACATGTATATATATAGTGTTACCAAATCCCATGGCCACAAATGTGGCTCAACGAATATACCACAACCGATATAAGCTTGCCAACACTTGTCTTACCTTGAACCAGTCAACGAAACTTGCTTTTTAATATGATAAAAAGGCACACAGTTATCCAGCGCAAATTATGTATTATAGTCTGTAGTGGCGTAAACTCAGAAACTGATAAAAAGCATGCATGACGTCATTCGTGACGGCATCCGTAACGGCATCCACAACGCAACACTGAAGGAGTACCGGGCCTCTGGATCAGGCGCGTCATACAGCGAGTTCCCTCCCCATTACACATTCCGTCCTCGGCCAGCTTCTCCAACTAGGGTTTCACATACTTAGCAAAGGGAGACCTTTTGTCAACCACGCATTCACATGCCACTTTGATTGGCTGAGCGTACTTCTCCCACTCATCAGTGATGTAGTGCACGCCATCCTTGATGATTGACATGCACGTGTTCGGCTTCTTCCGCAACATCGTCATGTAGACTACAGTCTGGCGACACGACCCATGTGCTGGAACAAGATACAGGTTCAGATATAGGAGTGAGTATGGTTTTACGCCGGTTTTCGCAATATGCAAGCAATTTCAATTCGGGGGACACCAATAATGAACTGCACATATGCGGAATCGAACCAGAACTTTCGGCGTGATGAGTGAACGCTTTAACTATTAGGCTACCCCACCGCCCTCAGCTAGAGGAGTAAATGAGTTGGGTTTAACGCCGCTTTTAAGAGTATTCCAGTTATATCACGGCGTGTCAGCTGAATGGGGGAGGAAAGCCCAAAGTGATGCAGGTCTCAGATGTTTACCACTTCGGGGTGGGTGGGTGGGTTGGTGGCGGGGGGGGGGGGGGGGGGGGGTGTGGTTCTCACCTGTGCCTCCCAGGTGCAGACACCCCTTGTTGTCCGTGTTGCACCACACCTCATTGATGATCCTGGGGAAGCGTTCCGGCCCGAGGGTGGTGGTGTGGGCACAGGTGGAGCACATGTGGAGATAGCCGTCATTGGTCTGTGCACCCACATCTCGGCAGTACTCTACCGCCGTCGTTGAACCTACAAATCGCAGAGTGAATGAAGCAAATCAGTGAGCCAGCCAGAGCAGCAAGGACAAGGTAGGATAAGGACCCTTTGTAACTCACTGGAAATGTCTAGCTTGTGGAAAACTTTGAAATATTGGTCTGATAATTACCAGACCTGTTCAAGCAGCTGTCAACTAGATTTTTGTATTTCTTACACTTACAAGTTTTGGACTTTTGACATGGTCAAATACACAACTATGGCTAAAATGAGTGAAAGTGGCAGGTTTTAGAACTTGAAATGGAAATCTAAATATGAGCAAATTTGTGATCAAAGTTTAATCTTTCACCATAAATCTATATCGTTTTCTATGTACGCCTTTGAAATTCAGGTGGGGTCAAAGACTTGCTCATGTTCTAATATTAGAAAAACGCACAAATGAAAACATATAAAATCAGCCTTTTTGACACATTTTATCGGTATCTACATGTATGTATTAAGTGTGGCAATACATTGAGGCACAGTTGTTGATGAATAGTAATATTAGATGTACATGCTGAATAAGCTTCGGAAGTACAGATCAATATGTGTTGCAGCGATAAATGTTTTTGCTTCTCATCTTTAACGCTTAACAAACATGTTCTCAAACGTTTCATATTATGGATATTGTTGGTAGGCATCATTTATATGCATGAGTGAATTTGTGAGTTGGTGAATGGTCAGTTTTACAATGACATTATAGGCTATAATTAAAAAGCATTATTTTCTTGTTCAGTTGGATAAATAGAAAGCTTCTCCACAAGGCCAGTTCTTTTCCCCACTTTTTTCTTTAGGATGGTAAATGAAAACGATTCCTAATCCTAATCTAATCCTATCCCTATTCCTATCTTCATCCCTATCCCTAATCCTATCCCATCCCTATTCCTATCCTCATCCCTCTCCCTATTCCTAATCCTATCCCTATTCTGTCCCAATTCCTATCCTATCCCTATCCTATCCTCATCCCTCTCCCTATCCTCATCCCTATCCCTATTCCTATCCTCATCCCTCTCCCTATCCCTATCCCTATCCCTATCCTTATCCTTATCCCTATCCCTTTCCTTATTTTATTTCTGTTCCTGTTCTAAATTATTACTTGCATTGAAAAATCTTATCAAATTGAAGATCAAATAATGGAATACCCACCATCTGAGTCACGTCGAACTCGTTTCCTTTCTGGATAAATGACCTTCGCCGGAAGTACCTGCGCGAGTATGCGCAGTGGAATATCGACATTGATTTCACGCCATCTACCGGGATCAGACATGAGTCTTAGATTGGTTTGTTCCTGTTCCCCAGGACCTTGCAAGAGGGGATATTTCTTACTCTTCTCCCTCAGTGTTATCTCCCCTGTGTCCTTGACCGGCAGCTCCATCACCTCCTCGGGTGTCTTCTGCAAGGTGTGAGATATATTGTATGTATGTGTAGGTGTGAATAGTTAGTGTATGAGAAAAATTTCCAATCAAAGGAGTTCGTTGATCTGGAATTCGTACCTGAAGGGAGAGCGACCTATCCTGCACATGTATACAAAATCACAATGAAGGGGGGCGGTCGGGTAGCCTAGTGGTTTAAGCATTCGCTCATCACGCTGAAGACCCGGGTTCAATTCCCGACATGGGTACAATGTGTGAAGCCCAATTCTGGTGTCCCTCGCCGCGATATTGCTGGAATATTGCTAAAAGCGGCGTAAAACCTTACTCACTCACTCACAATGAAGGACACGATCATTAACGAATATATCTTATGCATTAGACTACATCAGATAAACAAAGAAACAAACTGAAATTTGAACAGACAGCACACTCCTACAATGTACAGTCTAAACTGCCGGGAAAAACAAATTATTCGTGTGAAATTTGGATTTTCAAAAAGAAATACAAACGTTATCAAACAGTAAGGCTGTAATCAGATACGAAACCCCAAGCAGTATGATCCCCGTATCAAATATATAACCATCGAATACCTATTTCTTGTTTGTTTTATTTTGAGCCAACATCAAACATCGGTGTGTGCTTTCTTTTGCCTGGTAATTTAGATGAAACAATTACGCACATTTCAGAAGAGAGCTACACTATACTGGTGTGTGGCACCTTCATCATAAGGGTCTAAATTTCTTTCAATAGAACTTTTGCATTCAATTTTGGTCTGTCTGTCTCAATAAGGGATGTAACATACTATTGTAAAAACGCTTAACATTGTCGGTTCAGTGTAGATTTCAGAACCCTCAACCTGAACACCCACCCCTAACTCTGTCCGATTGAGCAGCATCTGTAGCAACATGCTGGGCGTGGTGGCGGTAGTGGTATCAGGAATGCTCCGACTGTAGTACTGCCTGTAGGCCTCCTCCAAGCGGTCGAGTAGATCCCTCTTAGTCTTGGTGTAGTCCCACGCCCAGTCGTCAGGGTGATGATCAAAGTCCACGTCCTGCATTAACAAACATGGAGGCAATGAAGTTTCGCAACTGTTTCCTGCACTATAGGAAAAACCCATTTGTCCAGACCCTATTATTCCGAAAACTCCGCCTTCAAGACGATTATTTTTGGGAACGCTTCATAGGCATACATACAGAGAGATATTCCTCTCTAATCCTGACAACTCGACTGGGATTAACGAACTCTTACACCCGATGTTTGCGAGTCCTGCGGAAGAGCAAAGGCTAAGACACAAGCCATCAATAAAATCAAGTACTGTGTTTGTAACTCCGGTTTTGAGATACAGGAATGTTATGTTAATGTGTGTCTGTGTGTTTATGGTGCAAGTTAGAAGGGTGTTTATGGAATAGATAATATGTGAGAGTGAACTAGGTATACACAGTGCTATCAACATTCCACACTAAATTCAACATGTGCCGTTTACACCACACTTATGTTTAAACATAAGCGTCTTCAACAGGAGACGGTTATATATATTTAGTTACATAAGGAGCTCCCTAACAAAGGGTGTTACAAGCAACAAGTGCATGTATTTATCACTCACGTAAATGTTGGCATCATCTAATTACAACAAAAAATATTTTTGCATGTTTTATTCGACAATGCATTGAATGTTTCTCTCTCGAAGTGCTGCCTGGCAATACAATGCAGGCTTACACAGAGTTGAATGATAAACGAGGACCACCCAGGCAAATTTCAAGTACATGTTCATAATATCCAAGCCCTAGTTAAGCTTCATGAAATCAAACGCCGTAGATTTGTGCCAAGAGGAGCCCTTGAGATGATTGAGTTGGGTTTAACGCCACTTTGAACAGTGCACCAGTTATATCACAGCGTGTCAGCTTAATATTGGCGGAAAGCCCGAAAGCTCAGACGTTTATCACCTTGGTGAAACCCACAATCACTGTATGCTGCTGACAAACTCTTTTTCGTTTTCCCGGTTTATGATGAGGTCTTATTGCATTGGCACAACTGCTACGGACTTTAATTTGACAACGATGTATCATTTTGTTGTTTGCCTAATGAGACAAAATGAATGGGAAACTTTGTTTACAGTGCCATGGCATCACTGATTTTCGCTGTGGTCTGGTCAAGAAATGTATTAACAGTGACCTTTCTCACAGCTGCCGTATAGGAACTCAAACTGTTTGTTTTTGTTGATTCCTATACGATATTTAAGTTTCTGAATAATTGTGTTTGTTTGCCACACTCAGCAATATTCCAACTATATGACGGTGGTCTGTAAATAATCGAGTCTGAACCAGACAATCCAGTGATTGATATCATGACCATCGATCTACGCAATTGGGATACGATGACATGCATCAACAAAGTCAACGAGCCTGACCCCCAGATCCCGTTAGTCGCCTCTTACGACAGGCATAGTCGCCTTTTACGGCAAGTATGGGTTGCTGAAGACCTATTCTACCCCGGATCGTCAAGGGTCTTCTGAAAAGTTAAAACATATGTCAAACCTAAAACTCAGTTTGTATTCCATCAACGTATCAATTCTGACATGTTTCGACACATGCCCTGTTATGATTAATGGGTGAGTGAGTGAGTTTGGTTTAACGCCGCGTTGAGTGATGCAGGTCTCAGACATTTACCACCCACCATCACATCTGAGCCAAACTATATACAAAGGATGTACACTACACCCTCAACTGTTTGCACATAAGTACCGTCCATGCTCAAGGGTTGCATTTGAACCAATTGACAACGAGACAACCAGGTATTCTCTGGTGATAAAAATGGACAAAATTGGCTACCACCACCAAGTATCCCTAAAAGCCATCCAAGCGGACAAGGTGTCAAATATAGGTGATGGTTGTCCTTCCTTTGCCACTGTTAGCAGGGAAGAGAGAGCCACGAAAATGACCCTTCAACTGACACCACTAGGGAAATTGTTGATAAATAAATATGATTATGGATCATCCAGGCCTAAGCACACGTCACATAGTCAATACATTGGGCATCTCTTATGAGATAGTTGAGAACAACCTGAGGAATAAGTTGGTCAAGACAAAGGTTCCTGATCAAAAACGCTCCAGGCTTATCGTCTCTCCTGAGAATTTGCATCTTTTTGAAGCTGATCTTGTTGAGCAATTTCCAACCATTGGTGACCACTAGCAGCCACACACTAAACAACAGTCAAAGCAGAGGAAACGTTTAACGTCTTGTCCTCCGAAAAAGGGAAAGTCTGTTCCATCATTCCAAAGGAATCCAAAAGGATCATACCGGTGGACTACCTTATGTAATTAAATAATGGCCTATATTAATCTTATCGGCTGTGGAGGACCTTTTACATCACTAGGAGGAAGCCTTCTACGTCAGTGGGATCCAATCAATCCAGCTAGGAAGGTAGACGTCTGGGGATCTCGGAGAAGCAAAATTAGCAAAACCTCCATCTACGCAGTCCATCGTAGTAAGGCTAACCTATCTGCCACCCCTCGTAACTTGAACCCGTCAACACTGACCTACTCCCAGTACACACTTTGGAGACAAGACCTACATTATGTACGAAAATAAACAAAGTAAATAGATCACACAAAGACATACCTCATACATGTCGTTAAGTGACAACATGTTCGGGAAGTTCTCTTCCGCTTCATCATCTGACGTCGCCATGTAGTTTTTGACGTAGTTACCGCCGACGTCAGACAACACTTGCTTCAGTTCGTCATCGGAGAGATCGAGGCGTCGCATGTGAGTTTGTTGGCATGACAACGAACGGTTGACGATGGGTATAGGCGTAGGGCACTTCCCCGGTATGGGGCCTGTTATAATGTCCCTGTCGTGGTTGATGTTGTTGAACATGAAGCCGGAGACAGGTGTAGTGTGAGGAGACTTGTGAAGGGTTGGGACTGCATATTGCGTAGGGATCAGATACTGAAACGGGTTCCCTAGAAATAAGGAATAGTGCTGGTCATTAAATATGAGACGGTGTTTTACTGAACTGCCGGGGAAAACAAACTTGACAACCATGTTTGATGGTGGCTAAAATGAAACAAACAAGAAATAGTTATTTGATGGGGATGTATTTGAGGTGAGGTGAGGTGAAATGGGGTTTAACGTCGCGTCCAAGATTCTTGCACTTATATAGCGACGTGCATGTACGTGTGTGTTTGTGTGGCTGCTTGTACTAGTCCGGACTGATGCCGATTTATAGTGCTAGCCCACTGAGATACCATGCCGCAGTTTAACATGAATACCCCACTCAGACACAGTATACTGACTCCGAGCCGACTAATCCTTGTTTTAGACCTTAATGCCGAGCGCCAGACAGGGTAACAACAAGTACCATCTTTTAACGTCTTTTGGTATGACGCGGCCGGGGATCGAACCCCGGACCTTCCGCTCTGCGGGCGGACGCTCTACCACTAGACCACGGAGGCGGTCCGGGATGTATTTGACGTGTATCATAGTTGTGTTTAAGACCTACAGTTTGCAGTGTTTCGACGACCGTTTCCAGCTGATTACTTTTTGATAAGGTTTGTAACACTCAGGTTTTGTACACTCAAATTTTCGAGTGTATACTTTCGTTTGCCCGGCAGTTTATTAAATACCTATGTTATATCAGTTATTCAGTATGTAATATCACTAATTGTAGACATTAACAATGAATTTGGGATATCAATAATCGAATTATTGCTAATTTAATATGCATGTATTGATTACCTATTTATGTTTTGATTTAAATTAATTTTTGATATATCTAAATTCTCCTACTCCTAAATTCTACTAAATACAAGACGACCCAAAAAGGAAAGTAAGTATGCAATATGAAATATGAACTTCATTTACTGATTAGTTAAGAGTGAGTGAGTGAGGTGGGTTTAACGCCGCTTTTAACAATATTCTAGTTTTATCACGGCGTGTCAGCTTATATTGGTAGGAAAGGCAGAAGAGATGCAGGTCTCGGACGTTTACCACTTCGGTGAAACCCACGAGCACGGGTAAAAACCAAGAAACATAATCAGGACGAACCGTGATTCGAACGCATTTCATAGGTTTGTGGCATGGCAAAGGAACGTAAATCTGCACAGCGAATTGCGGCGACTTAGATTATCTGGACCATCCTTACCCCTATTTTAATTAAGAAAGATGGAGACATGTTCCACACATGAAAATATTAACTTTGTGATGTCACCCGATGAGATGAACTTGTTATTTGACAAGAAAACAAAATGGTCTAGTTAGTATGTAATTTCTTCAGAGGGGCGGTCGGGTAGCCTAGTGGTTAAAGCGTTCTCTCGTCACGCCGAAGACCCGGGTTCGATTCCTCACATGGGTACAATATGTGAAGCCCATTTCTGGTGTCCCCCGCTGTAATATTGCTGGAACACTGCTAAACGCGGCGTAAACCATACTCTCTCACTCACTCACTCACTCACTCACTCACTCACCCACTCACTAATTTATCGGTGAGCTTACATGGTTTGTCGGAAAATCATAATATCAATCAGTCAGATTCAAAGTAGTTCCCGGAAAATATATTATATCATCCAAGAGAAAAATAGATAAATATAGTACATCTTCAGACAAATAAACAATTCCATATTTAAATGCATAATAAGAGATAATATCTTTTTTAATACGATGGAATGGCTCGTGAAAGTTTAGATATTACTCCATGTACGAGAGTGATATTTGGTCCCATGCAAAATCAAAGGAATAGCACCAAAAGGCAACGGCATGATTTTTCGATATCACAAATTAGATTTTTAGATATCAATAATTGCTGAAAGTTCTTAATATTACAACATTTTATATAATCTTTGAAGCAAATTAATGACAGCAAAAAATATTTGATATCGTGTATTTGATTTTGACACGATCGAATCATTGATATCACTAAACTGATTATTTATATCATAAATTACAGATTGAAGTTTTCATAATCATGAATAATCTGTTAAAAGCAAAGTTCGTTATACAGTTGTATCATAGGCATGTGTTTATGAATTACTATCAACCTGTAATGATACCAGGTGTTCGTGAAAAGGTGAGCTGTGAAGATAGAATAGGTCTTCAGCAACCTATGCTTGCCGTAAAAGGCGACTATGCTTGTCGCAAGAGGGGTCTAACGGGATCGGGTGGTCAGGCTCGTTGACTTGGTTGATGCATGTCATCGTATCCCAATTGCGTTGATCGATACTCATGATGTCAATAAGTGGCTTGTCTTGTTCAGACTCGATTACTTACAGACCGCCGTCATATGGCTGAAATATTGCTGAGTGCGGCGTTATACAACACACACGCAAAACATCCGTCGCAAACACATGCAAAGGCACCTGAACCAACACGGGAACAATGGTACAAGTCAAATAAGGGGATTGAGTCGCTTCATAATCAGGCTGTCTCATAGAATGAGTGAGTGAGTGAGTGAGTGAGTGAGTGAGTGTGTTGGGTTTAACGCCGTTTTTAACATTATTCCAGTTATATCACGGCGTGTCAGCTTAATGTGGGAGGAAAGCCCGAAGTGATGCAGGTTTTAGACGTTTACCACTTCGGTGAAACCCACGAGCACGGGTATGGTGCTGACAAACCTAGAAACATAATCGGGGCGAACCGGGATTCGAACCCACAATCATAGGTTTCTGGCGTGCCCAAGGGACGCAACTCTGCACAGCGAATCGCGGCGCCTTAGACGACTGGGCCACCCGTGCCCCCCTGTCTCATAGAAACAAACAAACGTAAACGTGTGTACATTTAGACATATGTGTAGATATTTGTTCAGGCACCTGAATCTGCACCAATGCTTTGTACGTTCAGGAACGAGGCTTGTACGTGAGCCTCAGCCATTCAGGTACATTTGGCGTATTCTGGGGGCGGTGGGGTAGCCTAGTAGTTAAATTGTTCGCTTGTCACGCCGAAGACCCGAGTTCGATTCCCCTCATGGGAACAATGTGTGAAGGCCATTTCTGGTGTCCTCCGACATGATATTGCTCGAAAATTGTTAAAACGGCGTAAATATTGAAAGACCTATTTTACCCAAGATCTTCACCGGTCTTTTAATTAAAGAGATGAAGCACCATTCCAAATCTACCTTGCCTTTGACATAGTTGTGTATGAATAACATAATATATATGAACATGGTTTTACGCAGCTTTAGCAATATTCCAGAAAATATCACGGCGGGGAGAGAACACAAAATAGGTTTTACAAAGTGACCCATTTGAGGAATCGAACCCGGGTACTCGGCGAGACTAACTACTACCTCACCACGAGTTGTGTTTGAATACATTTTGCAAGTATCATGCACTACTTACCTGTGTTTGAAAGCTGAAACTTTGAGTATACGACGTAGAGGAAGACGAAACTTGTCAACGTGTCCATCATATTGGTCGACTGGAAACGCCTGCAGCAGAGAAACCCAGTTAGAGGTACACTTTGCACGGCCTGTCAACTGACGCGCTCTAATAAAGCGTCTACGTGCATGTGGGAAGACAGGGATCAATTCGGTAATTTACTTCTAAACAGCAACTGATTGGCCAGCTTTCCTTTGCGTCAGCGTAACAGAAACATATTAACTGAATACGTGACAAAAAGGAATTGCATTTTCTATTGACTCCAAATCATCGTTGACGACAATATGATAGTGAAACATTGCTGCATATGGTCCTGCCGTACTGTCAATCTTCAGTGTACCTGTCATTACTCTATCGGCCTTATCTTTCGTAATGCCTTGATATTTGCTTGGGGGTTAAGGCTGCACTAGACCACCTGTTGCGCTGGGACACGCCCCGTCGTCGGGCGACTAGAACTGCCTACAGCGTCGAGTGTGTCTTATCCACGAAATGTTGTTATAATGTGGGAGTATGACACAGCGAATTACAAGGATTAACCCTGTATCGAATTCCTACCTGGTGTATCGTCTCTATGAATCGGTAGGGGAAAGCAGACTTCCATGTGTTGATACACTGAAGTGTAAAAATAACTCACAATATACGTGTAGTCTGTCTGAACCGGGCTTCTATTTGAGGTGGTGGAAAATAGGGTTTAAAGTCGCATCCGAAATTAATGCACTTATATAGCGACGTACGCTTTTGTGTGTGTGTGTGTGTGTGTGTGAGAGAGAGAGAGAGAGAGAGAGAGAGAGAGAGAGAGAGAGAGAGAGAGAGAGAGAGAGAGAGCGAGCAAGAGAGAGAGATTGTGACATATTTATATATGTAACAGTTAATTAAGTAATTTGTTTTGAAATAGGTTTTTAGTTAATCACTTTGATACTTTGTTAATCTCCTGGTATACCATCAAAATGGATATAACTATGAATGTAGAGAGAGAGAGAGAGAGAGAGAGAGAGAGAGAGAGAGAGAGAGAGAGAGAGAGAGAGAGGGAGTTGGTTAGTGTGCTTGCACTAGATCAGACTCATGCCTGTTTCAGTCCACTGAGATACCACGCGGCAGTTCAAACTATGGACACCCCACAAAGACACATTATTACTGACTCCGAGCCTACCAGTCCTTGTTTTAGTCCCTCAATGCCGAGCGCCAGGCAGGGTAACAACAAGAGCCATCCTTTAACGTCTTTTGGTGATCGAACCATCGACCATCCGCCCTCCAGGCAGGCGCTTCATCCACAAGACAACAGAGGCGGTCCTTCTTTGGGACCGAAATTAGCTGTTTTAGACAGGCGTCGGGATTGGCGAGATTAAAGCAAAATTACAGAAATAGGACATAACTGATATTTATTAGAATGTAATTGTTGCAATAGTTAATTGTGGTCCTGCTTCGACAGGTGGTTACATTGTTCTATGGAATAAGGAAAACCAGTATTTTGACATACTAGTAACTGATATTTATTAGAATGTAATTGTTGCAATAATTAATTGTGGTCCTGCTTCGACAGGTGGTAACATTGTTCTATGGAATAAGGAAAACCAGTATGTTGACATAACTGATATTCATTAGAATGTAATTGTTGCAATAATTAGTTGTGATCCTGCTCCGACATATGGTTACACTGTTCTATGGAATAAGGAAAACCAGTAAGCTGATATGGCTTCACAGATTGATGAAGAGTTTAAGTGTCGAGGCACAACACACCACAGGACACATGAGGCTACTTATAGTGAGTGAGTGAGTTGGGTTGAACGCCGCTTTGAACAGCAATCCAGTTATACCACGGCGTGTCGGCTTAATATGGGAGGAAAGCCCGGAGTGATGCAGGTCTCAGACGTTTACCACTTCGGTGAAACCCACGAGCACGGGTATGGTGCTAACAAACCTAGAAACATAATCGGGACGAACCGGGATTCGAACGTATAATCATAGGTTTGTGACATGGCCAAGGAACGGAACTCTGCACAGAGAAATGCGGCGCCTTAGACAACTGGGCCACCCGTGCCCCCTTGGTACTTAGATGATGTTTAAGTTCAAAAACAAAGTAAGGATAAGAATTTATTGATAAACAACTTCTTTATTACAATTAAGAGCGACATTTATTTGTAATAAAGAAGTTGTTTATCCATAAATTCTTATCCTTACTTAGTACTCCAACTTCTAAATGCCTATCAAAGAAGTTCAAAAACAAAGTTCCGACTCCAATTAGCTTTTCCTTTCAAACTGCGGAAAACTCCAAGAAGTGGAAATGACGTTTCATTATGAGTTTGTGTAAAGAAAACACGATCTGCGAAACAAATTCAAGGTCTTAAGAAATTCAGTGCATTTTAAAATGCCAAGAACTGTTGATTTCAACTCTGCGCTTTAAGAAACTGTGATAGATATCCGAGACAGCCTTAGATACGATAAAATTACGAATGTATTTTTACACATTATCTTTATTCAACGTTAAGACAGGCTTGTATAAGTCTGGTGTGTGAATACAATCGTAGCTGATGTTTTGATCATACACTGTTCTCTCCAGTCGGTCCCGACAATAAAGTGTATAGCTGACTCCGATGTTGTGTGTAAGAAAAAATAAGATTTAGATTGTATAAACGTGTTCGTAATATCCGAGTGGGCACGGGTGGCCCAGTCGTCTAAGGCGCCGCGATTCGCTGTGCAGAGTTGCGTCTCTTGGGCACGCCAGAAACCTATGATTGTGGGTTCGAATCCCGGTTCGCCCCGATTGTCAGCACCATACCCGTGCTCGTGGGTTTCACCGAAGTGGTAAACGTCTGAGACCTGCATCACTTCGGGCTCTCCTCCCACATTAAGCTGACACGCCGCGATATAACTGGAATACTGTTAAAAGCGGCGTTAAACCAAACTCACTCACTCACTCACTCATTCGTAATACCCGAATCATAAGTATCAACAAACACGAAATATCTGCATTCAGTTCAATTCAATGATTCATTGATGCGTCAAAGCATGAAGTGAGTGAAGTCATATGGGCTAATATACTACTCAAAAGAAAAGAAAGGATCAGCAGATTTTTTCAAATTACTATTGTTAATATGTAATGGCATGAGAGATTAACTATAGTAATAGAAAATAATTGGGTGATCCTTAACTTCTTTTGAGTAGTATATATAATTTCATACGAGCCAGGAACCAGTTCTACACAGTGATTTAACGCTTTGGCCAACGTAAGTCTATATTAAGGTATAAGAGTTGCGACGTTCGTAGCGCTACGGCATTCGTAAGCCTTTGGGAAACTATTTAATTGCGATCGGCGGTGACACTGCGAACGCTTTGAGAAACGGGGCCCAAGCGAAGGTTAAAACGCTTCAAATTTATTAATTATCATTAACCATCATAATTTTCGCAGTACCAAAGATTAACGTGATTGCAACGGTTGACAAAATGAGGACGGCCTTACTAACGACTGGCCACTTAGCTCAAGGGGGGCTACTCTCATTTGCAATATGAAGTTCAAGGTCGTAAGTAACAGCAGTGAATGCTGTGATGATAGATGCTTCGACATTTTTCTGTTATTATTGATGCTCGAAAACTTCCACCCCACGATAATTTCATACGCAATCAAGATCAAAAGACCGATTTCAACTATTATTCGCGTGTCATGCTCTAGATCAATGTCTTCTGCAAAATATCACGGACTTGACAAATATCCAAGGAATATCGTCAATAATTCAGCAAATTTAGAAACGCGTGCATATTGTGTTGCTACATATCCTGTGTTTCTTTTTCGGGTGAAAACTAGAGAGTGTATCGGGAGAAGATAGAATCTGACTGGGAGTAAAGTAGACGTTGTGGACCTATGTACAGCATCATCCACACCCTATGAGAGTCAACTTCCCTCTCTTGGTATCCGGCACATCACTTAATTTGTCTGGGCATCCAATTTAGGAGCTCTTGAGTCATATCAATGTACGCAGCTGGTGCAAGTAAATTATTTTTACACCATTCGCCGAACACATTCCAATTCCTAAGAAAGCGAATACATAGTATAAGCCAAGGGGAAGGTGATTTCACCTCTGTGTTATTAAAAAAATATATAAAAAACTCCTGTTTCTAAAGCATTGAGTACGAGTGTAATTTTGAACATTGTCTGAACTCAACGTTGAGAAATAGTCTTGTATAAATGTGGTGTATGAATACAACAATCTTGGCCGATGTTTCCATCACACACGGTCCAGGTAATAACAGATCCGTGAAGATCCGGGGTAGAATAGGAGATCCGGGGTCTTCAGCAACCCATTCTTGCCGTAAAAGGTGACTATGCTTGTCGTAAGAGGCGACTAGCAGGATCGGGTAGTCAGGCTCGCTAAATTGGTTGAAAGCACGTCATCGATTCCAACTGCCTGGACCAATGGTCATGATATCAATCACTGGATTGTCTTGTCCAGACTCGATTATTTACAGACCGCCGTCATATAGCTGGAATATTGCTGAGTGCGGCGTAAAACAACAAACAAACAAACAAACCAGGCAATAACATGGGTAGCTGTCTCCTAAGTTGTTTGTAAGAAAAGATAAGATGTAAATTCTACAAACGTATTCATAATATCTGAACCGTAAATGTATTCAAACAAGAAAAATCTGCATTCACCTTCATAATATCAGCGTAGACGAGCCAAAGAGACACCTGGAGTGAGGACATACTGATATATGATGTCATACGACTGTTTCATTGCGTATATCTATTGACACGGTAGGATACGTATAGGGTATATTTGAGTATTAGGGCTGGGACGAGTCAAAATCTAATCCCCGGGTACCCACCCTGCTATTACCCGACCATACCCGGGTACCCGTTGTAGGTCTCGGGAGAAAGGTACAAACTGTCCGATTGGGAAAAGTTTGACCGTAGCCCTGGCAAAATATATTTAGATACAGGTATAAAACGATCTGGTCATGCATATGCACTGATGACTACGGCATGGAATTTTATCTTTTTTTCAAACATATAAAAGTCAGAAGGAATGCGTGTTAGCCAGAAAAAATGGGAACATAAGTGACTTGTAGTGTGACCATAGAGTTTTAGATAGGTTTTGTCATTAAACAATATATCACGTGACTAACCACGGGTCCGGGTAGTCCTATGGGTACCCGGGTCCTGCTCAGTACCAACCCTACCCGAGTACCCGAGTGACCCGTCCCAGCCCTATTGAGTATACAGAGAGGTATGGGGAATGTTCCTGTGCCGCAAACGACCCAAACAGTACCATTATGACATACCATATTTATAATCAAAGATATATTATGTCAACAAAAAGATTTGATTAACATTTTAATTCACATCAACTTACACTCATAAACATCTCGTTTTTTACATTTGTAGTTTTACCACTTGAAAACTTCTCACCAGATGAGACCATGTATGGACGATAATTATTTCGATGTTAAATATTTATACGATTGCCCGCCGTCTGTATACATGTTTATGGAGAGAGGGCATGGTAAGTCGTAATCCTTATCCGTTTTAATGTCAATAAAATATGTTTATAAACAGAACAGTACAATGAACACACAATGCAGTTAAGAAAGTGGTCAAATGTACCATATGTTATATTTGGGACAACACTTTCTTAATAAAGTACAGATTCTCGTAGTCTTGGAGGTTGAGTCTCATCCGGGATTCGAACCCACACTTCCAGAGGAGCCTCACTTCAGCAGTGTGGGTTCGAATCCCGGATGGGACTCAACCCCCAAAAGGTACGAGAATCTGTGAGGTGAGGCGAGGTGAAATGGGGTTTAACGTCGCGTCCAAGATTATTGCACTTATATATAGTAACGTGCATGTACGTGTGTGTGTTTGTGTGGCTGCTTGTACTAGTCCGGACTGATGCCGATTTATAGTGCTGGCCCATTGAGATACCATGCCGCAGTTTAACATGAATACCCCACTCAGACACAGTATAATGACTCCGAGCCGACCATTCCTTTTTTAGCCCCTTAATCCCGAGCGCCAGACAGGGTAACAACAAGTACCATCTTTTAACGTCTTTTGGTATGACGCGGCCGGGGATCGAACCCCGGACCTTCCGCTCTCCGGGCGGACGCTCTACCACTAGACCGCGGGGGCGGTCTCGTCTTTCTCCAAGCATAGCATTTGGAACCAATTCTACATCGGAGTCCCCATCGTTCCCATGGAGGCTGTCTACGAGTATCTGTACTTTACTCAGAAAGCGTTATCCCCAAAATAACATTTGTTACGAAACAGTACCATTTTGACCACCCGATCAGTCCCCCATCAGTAGCAGTAGCAGTACTTTACAACACAATACAGATCATAGAACCTTTTTGTTTTCGAGTGTGTGAATATTGATCAGTAATATACATACCCGAGTCGAATGTTAAGGAATATCCAACTTGGCCTTCAGATTAATCAACAACCGACACAATATTAGTACACAAAGTTTGATCAAAGACGTGCTTTTAAGGTGTAGCAGTACCACGGGGTATATGTGGTTTCATGTGTCCCGCGTTCGGTTTTATACCACAAGCCCGAAGTGATTTTATCTTGCCGACATGTTTTAATCTGAGATTGTAAAGGAAATTAAACAAATTGAAAATTGATAGACAACAGCTGTTCGATTGACCTGAGGTTAACTTGTAGTGTTACGTAACTTTCTTTGACTGGTAAACAGCGTGAAGGTTTTTTGCTTCGTAGCGGGTGCAAGAGGTTTATCCACGTGCAGCCGTTTGTCACCGTGGCGCCCCCGCTCAGAAATTGACTTCCCAACATCGTATTTTTATCAAGATGGCGTGAACCAATCAGATCTCGAAATTCTGACACAGAGGTAACCTCTGTTGTAGACGTCGTTTGTACAGCGAGTGTGTGAGAGAGTACGGGTCTACGCCACTCTTAGCAATAGTCCAGCAATATCACGGCGGGGACCCCAGAAATGGGCTTCACACATTGTACCCATGTCGGAATCGAACCCAGGCCTTCGGCGTGACGAGTTAACGCTTTAACAACTAGGCTACCCCACCGCCCCTGTTTGTACAGTACAAAATACATATTTCTTTTATTGTTTACCGAGATGTGTGGTGAGTAACATGGAATGGTGTGTGTGTGTGTGTGTCTGTGTGTGTGTGTGTGTGTGTGTCTGTGTGTGTGTGTGTGTGTGTGTGTGTGTGTGTGTGTGTGTGTGTGTGTGTGTGTGTGTGTTAGTGTGTTGGTGTGTGTGTGTATGTGTGTGTGTGTGTGTTAGTGTTAGTGTGTGTGTGTGTGTGTGTGTTAGTTCGTGTTAGTGTGTGTGTTAGTGTGTTAGTGTGTGTGTGTGTGTGTGTGTGTGTGTGTGTGTGTGTGTGTGTGTGTGTGTGTGTGTGTGTGTGTGTGTGTGTATGTGTGTGTGTGTGTGTGTGTGTGTGTGTGTGCTTTTACTAGTCCGGACTAAGGCCAGATTTGTAACGCTAGCCCACTGAGATGACATGCCGAATTTAACATGGATTCTCCCCAGCCCCAGCCCCAGCCCCAGCCCCACCCACTCTTCAACAAAGTACACCGAGCCAGCTTTGTTTTATCCCCCATATGCCGTGCTCCAGCAGGGCAACGACTGCCATCTTTAGCGTTTTTTGCTATGCAGCGGCCAGGTGATTGAACCACAGACCCTCCCCTCTCCGGGCAGACAAAAAAATATTTATGAAAATGAACGCAAGGAATATAGAAATACTTCTATGAAGTGTACGTAAATAGTTAATGTCTACATGGGAAGAAAAAACATGTACTTCTCTCAGCTATTGACAGAAAACATTTTCACTGAAACAACCCACCAATTCATAGTTGAACATTGTGTCATCTGGACAAGTCTCATCGCAAAAGAAGCAATGTAATAAGATTTATATACCTACCCCGGCCTGTCTCTGTCTGCGTTAATGTGGGCTGCCTTACCCCATGGCGAGTTGACCTGTTGCCGTTGCCCACATCTCAGTGAGGGAGAGGCCACCACAGCTCTCCGACACACCGGCTCACCTGGTGACAGACGAGGCGTGTATTGCTGATAGGACTCGATATAAATACCTGTATGGTTGTACATATTGACAGCTGGGTGACAGGGTCTAACTACAATGATATAAATACCTGTCTGGTTGTACGTATTGACAGCTGGGTGATAGGGTCTGACTACATTGATACAAATACCTCTCTGGTTGTACATATAGACAGCTGGGTTACAGGGTCTAACTACATTGATACAAATACCTGCCGGTTGTACGTATTGACAGCTGGGTGACAGGGTCTGACTACATTGATACAAATACCTGTCTGGTTGTACATATAGACAGCTGGGTGACAGGGTCTGACTACATTGATACAAATACCTGTCTGGTTGTACTTAGAGACAGCTGGTGATAGGGTCTGACTACATTGATACAAATAACTGTCTGGTTGTACGTATTGAGAGCTGGGTGACAGGGTCTGACTACATTGATATAAATACCTGTCTTGTTGTACGTATAGACAGCTGGGTGATAGGGTCTAACTACATTGATACAAATACCTGTCTGGTTGTACATATAGACAGCTGGGTGATAGGGTCTGACTACATTGATACAAATACCTGTCTGGTTGTGCATATAGACAGCTGGGTGATAGGGTCTGACTACATTGATACAAATACCTGTCTGGTTGTACATATAGACAGCTGGGTAATAGGGTCTAACTACATTGATACAAATACCTGTCTGGTTGTGCATATAGACAGCTGGGTGACAGGGTCTGACTACAATGATACAAATACCTGTCTGGTTGTACATATAGACAGCTGGGTGACAGGGTCTGACTACATTGATATAAATACCTGTCTGGTTGTACGTATAGACAGCTGGGGGATAGGGTCTGACTACATTGATGTAAGTGAGAGAGTTGGGTTTTAGGCCGCTTTTGACAGTATTCCAGTTATATCACGGCGTACATTGATATAAATTCCTGTATGGTTGTACATATAGACAGCTGGGTGACAGGGTCTGACTACATTGATACAAATACCTGTCTGGTTGTACATATAGACAGCTGGGTGACAGGGTCTGACTACATTGATACAAATACCTGTCTGGTTGTACATATAGACTGCTGGGTGACAGGGTCTGACTACATTGATACAAATACCTGTCTGGTTGTACATATAGACAGCTGGGTGATAGGGTCTGACTACATTGATACAAATACCTGTCTGGTTGTACATATAGACAGCTGGGTGATAGGGTCTGACTACATTGATACAAATACCTGTCTGGTTGTACATATAGAGCTGGGTGACAGGGTCTGACTACATTGATACAAATACCTGTCTTGTTGTACGTATAGACAGCTGGGTGATAGGGTCTGACTACATTGATACAAATACCTGTCTGGTTGTGCATATAGACAGCTGGGTGACAGGGTCTGACTACATTGATACAAATACCTGTCTGGTTGTACATATAGACAGCTGGGTGATAGGGTCTGACTACATTGATACAAATACCTGTCTGGTTGTACATATAGACAGCTGGGTGATAGGGTCTGACTACATTGATACAAATACCTGTCTGGTTGTACATATAGACAGCTGGGTGACAGGGTCTGACTACATTGATACAAATACCTGTCTGGTTGTACATATAGACAGCTGGGTAATAGGGTCTAACTACATTGATACAAATACCTGTCTGGTTGTGCATATAGACAGCTGGGTGACAGGGTCTGACTACATTGATACAAATACCTGTCTGGTTGTACATATAGACAGCTGGGTGACAGGGTCTGACTACATTGATATAAATACCTGTCTGGTTGTACGTATAGACAGCTGGGGGATAGGGTCTGACTACATTGATATAAGTGAGAGAGTTGGGTTTTAGGCCGCTTTTGACAGTATTCCAGTTATATCACGGCGTACATTGATATAAATTCCTGTATGGTTGTACATATAGACAGCTGGGTGACAGGGTCTAACTACATTGATACAAATACCTGTCTGGTTGTACGTATTGACAGCTGGGTGACAGGGTCTAACTACATTGATACAAATACCTGTCTGGTTGTACATATAGACAGCTGGGTGACAGGGTCTAACTACATTGATACAAATACCTGTCTGGTTGTACATATAGACAGCTGGGTGACAGGGTCTAACTACATTGATACAAATACCTGTCTGGTTGTACATATTGAGAGCTGGGTGACAGGGTCTGACTACATTGATACAAATACCTGTCTGGTTGTACATATAGACAGCTGGGTGACAGGGTCTGACTACATTGATACAAATACCTGTCTGGTTGTACGTATTGACAGCTGGGTGACAGGGTCTGACTACATTGATACAAATACCTGTCTGGTTGTACATATAGACAGCTGGGTGATAGGGTCTGACTACATTGATACAAATACCTGTATGGTTGTACGTATTGACAGCTGGGTGACAGGGTCTAAATACATTGATACACATACCTGTATGGTTGTACATATAGACAGCTTGGTGATAGGGTCTGACTACATTGATATAAATACCTGTCTGGTTGTGCATATAGACAGCTTGGTGATAGGGTCTGACCATATTGATACAAATACCTGTATGGTTGTACATATAGACAGCTTGGTGATAGGGTCTGACTACATTGATATAAATACCTGTCTGGTTGTGCATATAGACAGCTTGGTGATAGGGTCTGACCATATTGATACAAATACCTGTCTGGTTGTACTTAGAGACAGCTGGTGATAGGGTCTGACTACATTGATACACATACCTGTTTGGTTGTACAGTCATATAAACAGACAGGTAATAGGGTCTGACTACATTGATACTAATGCCTGTATGGTTGTACGTATCGACAGCTGGGTGACAGGGTCTGACTACATTGACATCGCCTGTTGTACTAGTTGCTCAGGGAAGAGGTTATACTGTGTAAATACTTGTTTGAGATGGCTTAGTTCAGTAGTTAGAGGTTGCTTCGTGGAACAGATGTTGTGAGCTCGTCTTGCTAGGGTTGAAACAATTCCTTTCTTGACTTGAGGTGGATGGTTGGAGGCATAGTGTATGTATTGATCTGTGTGGGTAGGTTTCCGATAAACAGTGGTCGGGAGTTTGTCATTATTTATCTTTCTGTGCGAGTACATCAAGGAAGGGGAGCTGTCGATTGGTTTCTTCCTCAATGGTGAACTGCATTCGTGGGTTTGGGAATTCAGGTGGTCCAATAGAGTTCTCGGGTCATTGGGAGGCCGTGGGTTTGTTAATAGAAGTTATCTCTCCATGTAAAGTATGTTGAGCTGATACAGGAGTGTATGAGTCTGATGATGCTGTCAGAAATCCCCACGCCAACAGTCTGCGCCCTTTGTGATCAGCCACACCTACTTTGGAACAGTTAGCCATAAAAACCAGAGACTCTTAAAGAAACAGGCCAACATTGATGTAGTTTTCAAGAGAAGTCATACCATTCAGAACACAATTAAAGCCACAGGGAAACCACCATGAGCCACAAGCTAGAACCGTCAGGGGCAGTGTACCACATTCCCTGCAATTGTGGACAAGCTTACATAGGAGAAACATCTAGGCCCCTCAAAACCCGAATAAAAGAACAACAAAGCTCAGTCTCCAAAGATGACTCTAAATCAGCTCTATCAGACCACATCCGTGACAACCCAAGCCACAGCATTCAGTGGGAGAGAATCACAACCCTCGCCACCAACCTCAAAGACTTCAAGATCAGGAAACTACAAGAAGCCATCAACACCAAAAGACTCAAGTCGTCAATCAACCGTGACCAAGGCTATTACATACCCCTGCATACCATCAACTCATCAAAGACCCTAATCAGCCATAATACCGTTGTTTATATAGCTGGCTTCATCCTTTGTATATCACTGACATCACAGATGATTCTCATCACTACCCTTGTGTGTACCTAACAGGCTTCTCTACTCCAGTATAACAATATCTACCCCACTGTACTGTATAAACATTGCCTCCTACCTGTATATATACTTGTCAACCATACTCTGTAAATCACTTGCTTGATAACGGTGTTAGAACCTGCACCGAAACGTCGCTCTTAATTGTAATAATGAAGTTGTTCATCCATAAATTCGTGTCCTTACTTTAGTACTCCAACTTCTAAATGCCTATCAAAAGAAGTAAACACTCAGAATGTTAGCCATTAATATGTGAAAAACTCAGAATGTAAGTCATTAATATGTGAAAAACTCAGAATGTTAGTAATTAATATGTGAAAAACTCAGAATGGTAGTCATTAATATGTGAAAAACTCAGAATGTTAGTCATTAATATGTGAAAATCTCAGAATGTTAGTCATTAATATGTGAAAAAACTCAGAATGTTAGTCATTAATATGTGAAAAACTCAGAATGTTAGTCATTTATATGTGAAAAAACTCAGAATGTTAGTCATTAATATGTGAAAAATCTCAGAATGTTAGTCATTAATATGTGAAAATCTCAGAATGTTAGTCATTAATATGTGAAAAACTCAGAATGTCAGTAATTAATATGTGAAAAATTCAGAATGTTAGTCATTAATATGTGAAAAAACTCAGAATGTTAGTCATTAATATGTGAAAATCTCAGAATGTCAGTCATTTATATGTGAAAAAATTCAGAATGTTAGTCATTAATATGTGAAAAACTCAGAATGTTAGTCATTAATATGTGAAAAAATGTTAGTCAATATAAATTATAATCATGGAATATATTTTGGTGGTTTAAATCCAATCCCAGCTGTTCGTATATGGGAAAGGGTAATATTACTATGTGGATTATTTGCTTGTATTTTATGGGGTACGCTGTCACCAAAGGAATACGAAATATTTGAAATTATTCGCCGTTATTTTTGTAAAAAGATGAGCTTAATAATGATATAAATACATATACCACCTCTTCTCAATTCCCCAACAAACATGCATGGGCGAGTCGTGTTAAAGAACAAATAGGTGTACGTGACCGTAACGTAATTTATGCAGTACTTCATTCAAGAGAAAACCTAAAACGATACTCTCTTAT